TGTTTTTTTAAGTACATTTTAATTCTATTTTATTGGCTTATTATTTTCAATAATGAAACATTGTGATCGACCGAAAAATTCAAAAACATAGCTCCCTCTCAAAATTTGAGGTTTCACGTCTCAAGATGCGTAGAATTCGAAAAACGAATAAAAATTATTTGGTCCGTCCGCCGTCCGCGCATTTTCTCTGAAACTATTGGACCGATTTTTTTCAAATTTTGATATAAAATCAGAGGTAACCCTAGGATGATCCTCCTGTATCGACATTACTCTCCGCCTTTACCTTTCAAAATGGCTGCCGAAAAACCAGCGTTGGTATAGACTGTAGCGCCTAAACGAATGTACAGATTTCAATGAAACTTCGCTAAAGTCATTTTCTCGAGACCCTTTATTTAAATTTATCTATATAACATACTTCAACGAAAAGAAGCTGGAAAAAAAGTTACGAGGAATGGTAAAATCAAATTCCGAATAACTCGAAAAGTTTTTACTTTTTTGTTGATATTGTATACAGTTTTTAACAGTTTACGAAATTTCCTAAAAAAAAAATCGTTAAAATCGGACAATTAGGAGCAAAGAAGCAAAGTCTCTGGTTTGTTTTTATGTGTTCTACTCCAAATGTTATATCCTTGGTTTGGTTATTAAATTTAAAATGTGTTACTGAAATAATGCTATTTTTTTTTAGCATATTACTAATGATTAAAGAAAAACAGTTTAGTCAAATAATTGGAATCACCTTTTTTTTCTTTGTAATTCGGAAGGTAATGTTACTTTAGATGTATAATTGTTTGGAGATAATAAACCATTGTGAAATCATTTGCAGCGTTTTATTATTACTATTATTATTATTATTGTATTCGCTGTTTATGATATTTTCTTTTGTTCTTATTTCGCTGCATATTATTTTATAATTAATAATAAATTTTATGTCTATAATACATTGAGTTTTATTTCACCCTGAACAACCGAAAGGACTTATTTGCCAATCCAATATATATTCTTTCTCACTAGTCCATATCGACCCAACTATTATTTTAAAACATTTGTTTTGCTCTTTTGGAACTAGTATTATTTTATAATTACCTTATTTATTTTTAATTCTGTAAATATGGTGTGAATATGCACTATGAGCTCTATTATAAGTATACTTTTTTGAAACAGATTGTAATATTTATCAATAATCAAGTAATATAAAAAATAAAAAGAATTTATAGCAATTATGAGGAATTACTTTGAAAATTGTAATTTAATAATATCACAGCATTTTCCGTATTGTTTTAAACTATCTGTATTATTTTTTAAAATTTATCTTTGTTTAATGTGGCCAATAGACGATTTGCCACGACCAATAGACAAATTGCCAATAGACGATTTTTTTCAATTTGATGCTTTACGATTTCACTTTCTATTACCTATATATGGAACATATAGTAAAGGAAAGTATTGCGATCGTGAAAATTTTCTAATTTCACTTTCAGCCGGAAATACATGTTTAAAGGTACACTAAGTCGAAATAACCAAGTACCGCAATATGGTGTTCATGTGTGAATAGATTAGCTAAAAAACGAAAAATATATGTTGTCAGGGTAACCACATTTATTGCTTATGTGTTAGATGGCAGACACCAAGTTTTTTTTTATTGTGCAAATAATGAATATAAATTGCAAGTAAATCACTGAAAATATATTTTTTTTAAATAAAATATGAAGGACATCAATAGAAGTAAATAAATACAGTTCAAACCAAACACCTTTTCTAAGACTATTAGTGTTTTTGTTATTTAGGCTGAATAAAGAGATTAAACAAAATCTCTTTCATCTCATATCGATAAATGAGTTATTAATTTCAAATAGTTCACTTATATCAAAAATTGTAAAACATCACATTGAAAAATCGTCTATTGGCAATTGCCACGTTAAAAATGGAGAAATAAAAAAAACACAAGGATGGTTTCGTAAAAAATGAAAATGCTATGATTTTATTAAATTAAAATTTTCAAAGTAATCCCTCATACTTGCAATAAATTATTAGATATTTTTTAAAGCTCTTGGGCTGGACCAACCCCCATTTTACAAATTATACACGTGTTCATTTAATTTCACTACTCGATTCTCAAATTGTATAACTTTAATTTGCTTGGAATTCTGTAGTTCAGATTGTATTGATTTTTATCAACATAAAATAAACTGAACGAAACCACAGTTCAAACGAATTTTTAATTTCTATAAAAATCTATATTGTAAATCTCGCCATATGGCCAATTTATACATTTATATAATTATTATTATTCTTGCTGTCAATTTGTAACCGTAATATATATTCAACTTGTCCAGCTTCATGTAAACCCAACAATAATTTGGAAGTTTTATTTTAAATACTTTCATTATTGGTTATATAGTGCTTCCTTTTCTATTTCATAATAACTAAAATAATATCGCAATACAATATAAATAATACTATATACATAATAAAAATTAATATATTATATTCAAGTGGATCTGTCTAGATCGAAATTTTTTTTATATAAAAGATAGATGTATGATAGAATTTTATAAAAATCTTGTCAATCTCCAGTAAAGGTTGTGTTAGACATGGACGGGTACGTTTTTAATCGCGGCACGGGTAATGTTACGCGGTTTCCGTGAGCTCTTGGTTGAGACTCCTGTTGTAAGGTTTGAAATGTGGTAGTTATAAAGTATTGAAATAAGTATTAGTCTCCATATAATCCCTCATCATTTGATAGCTCATTCATAAAGATCCATGGCTCCTGACAGGCGGAAAAGGGGTTTACATCATCGTATTATTTATTTGGCAAATATGTACTTTCGTTTTTTCAGGTTGAAATAAAACCCATAAAACTATAGACATAAAATTAATTTTAATCCCATCTCTCCACTAACTGCACAATGCCATGTACATAGAATGCCTGGAGTTTATTGTTAAAAAACTGATCCAAATGGTTTTTGGTGTACCCTTCCTTTTTGTATTTCTTTCTAATCATGGAGTTCTGCAGTGACCGCAATAAATGGTAGTCACTTGGAGCTAGGTCTGGTGAATAGAGACTGTGTGGCAAACGGTCCCATCAAAAGCTCAATAATTAATTGCAAGTGACCAATGAGGTGTGGGGCCTAGCGTTGTCTTTGCAGAACAGAATAGCATTTCGATTAGCCAGTCCATGGCCGTCATTTTTAATTGATCGATCCGATTTTGTTAATTGAGTTGAATCAATTGTTCGTCCTGATGGCAATAGCTCTTAGAAAATTACAACATTTTTTTTTTTTTTTGTCCTCGCCTCTAAGGCTATACGGGGGTTTTCCCGGGCCAGGGAGTGTGGGCGGGGATTTCAAAACTCCTCCGGGCACCGGGACGCGAACTCGTGACTATTTTTTTTATCAAATTGTTATGTATCAGGTTGCCGGGCAACGGCGGTGCAGTGCACACGCGCTAGCCCATTCGGCTACAATTACAACCTTAAAATCCCATCATATAGAAAGCATTTTTTTTTTTTAAAGCAATTGGGATTTTGAAATTTTTCCAGGTGCCTCACTACTAGGTTCCTATGATTTTCAACAGACTGCATTATCGTAAAATATCCATTTTTCATCTCCTGTTAGCAACCTTTTAAAAAACGGATCGTTTTGTTGATGTTTCCATAGTTAATCAGAAACAGAAACTCGTGTATGCCAAGTTGAAATCGGTTAGAGATAGAGGGAACCAAACATTAAGCCTGGAAACATAGCCGAGCTTGTACAAATGGTTTCATACATTTTTGTGCAATACATTTAGAGCCATAGCAATCTCTCGCACTGATTGGGTGAGATTTTGATCAGAAATGGCCTCAACATTGCTCGTTTCAATCTCATGTGAGAGACCAGACCGTTGAGCATCATTGATGTCAAAATTTCCTGTATGAAACTTGGCAAACCAATTTTGACAGATGCGTTCGGTTAAGGCATCATCTCCATAAACACATAATTTTTCTATGAGCTTCTATATGCCTGCAATTAATGATATTTTCTTCCATATTTACAGTGAAATAGCAAATACAACATTATGCTAGCTTCAACAAACGATAACAGATATAGTTAATTGACGTAATACAAACAGGATAAACAATCTACCTTAGGGATTATTTCATCATATAAGAATTGTATCATAGTAACAAAAAAATAAAGAGAAAAACCGAAAGGACTTCTATATATTGCCAACCCAATATACACCTTTTCATCAATTGGGAAGACGTGGGTCTAGTTAGAGGAATTGATCCTGGCATTTCCTTGTTCATTCCTTATTTCGTTTAATTGCAGACTCTATTTGCTGTCTTTCAATATTTGCCCTGGCAACGAAACTTGCTGAAGCTAAAGCTTTTACAAATAATTGGTCAATTATCGCAAAATACTTATTTGAATTAGGTTTAAATGCGAAAGTAATCGATAATTCAGCTTTTCATTTATCACTTGCTCGGAAGGATAGAAAGTTGAATAGTATTTAAAGAGGAAATGGGCAAAAAGAAGCCATATAATATATTCGCTGAAGTTGATAAAATGTTAATGGTTTACAGATCAGTTGGTTTGTGTAGTTTAGTTCATTCAAAGGGCGAGTTTAGAACTTCAAGGAAGTTTTTTATCTGGAGCATTTTCACAATCTGGCCATTTCTGATTAGTAATATCTATTTTACGTATATCCGTTATAAAAGAAGTGATAACAGTTTGCAGTCATACCTAGATTTAGCCCGAGTTATTTCAATTGAACTATGTTTGTTTTCAATGTGGCTTCTGAACAGAACAAGAGTCAAGAGCTTGGACAGATCGCTCAGAAAGATACAAATAGTTGACCATTACCTCTTTTCGGTTGGCGAACAAGTTCCTCCTTCTAAATCAAGCAAGGTTATATTGATAGCAATTGGTACAATGATACTTCCGATATGTCTTTGGATATCTGCTACTAGTAGCTATCTATTTTATTTATTTTTATTTTCATTTCATTATCCTTACATTTTGATGTTGATGTGTCATTTATTATTAGATAGGCTATTTACAATACTCTTTTTGCGTTACCAAGCTATCACGAATGCATTGAGAAGATGTATCATATCGAGAGAAAATCATACTTCATTGTTGACAGATAAAATGAATCATTGTTTCCAACATCTCTGCTCATCAGGAGAAAGCATCAATGATTTTTTTTCTTTACAAATTTTATTTATTCTAACAACAGTGTTCATTATATCCTTCAGCGATATTTTTATTCTTATAAGATTGTTCAATGCAGACCAAGTTAGATTCAGCAAGAATATCGCTATTATTGGCCGGGTGTGTGGGGTAGTATTTAGCTTTCTAACGATTTGGCGTTTCGGCTATAGATTTTCTTCAATTTCAAATAAGGTAAAACTTACAGTAGTTAACTATAGTTAAAGCAAATCTAATATTTTGGAATGTTATTTTTGTTTATGTTATGTCCGTTTAATGTAATACACCAACCTAAATGTTCTATTTCATACTACATATATTTATATTTTTGATTACCGCATTCGGTTTTCGTAAGTAGTATTCGGCTAATAATAAATAAAACCTAGACCCGTTTTATCTTTTATTGATAAAATTTTATTTAATTAATTTTATTTATTTACAACTTTACAAAAATATTCGCTACTCAAAACCTTTGATGACGCAACTTACCTCAAGCACTCACTCCCCTTCCAGACATCCCTACCTACTATAAACCAACTTGTCTGCCCTTATACTCCTTACATATTAGTACTTATTTGTATATTTTTCATATCTATGGCGTTATTTTTCTCTAAACACAAGAATAATTGGACTCTGATTATGTATTAATATTAAATATTTATAATTATAATTTTGTTTGAAATAAAAAGCTAATCCTAAACCTCACTTGTGTATTCATTGTTTTATTCATTTTAAAATCTCTTTTTAGGCAGATGATTTCAACTCTCTTCTATACCGGCTCATGATGGAAGATAATACTAACCAAATACTACATAATGTAAGTACCTTAATATAAACAGCAAGTTCCCGAACTCATCGATGCCAGATGATTCGTCTCAAAAATTATTTTTTTTAATTTTTTTTTTTTATTGAGCATTATAACAATCTGTCTCTTGGACATTGGTTATAGTGAGGTAGGATGACATTCACACTATATGTACACAAAAATAAAATAAATATAACAAAATAATATCCAAAAGTATATACAATAGATAAAATAAAATAACCTAAAAATAATAAAATTAAAACTAAGAAAAAAAACACAAGCATACCTATATACAATCAGGCGAGGGAACTCCAGGAGAACCCTGCGCTACTCTCCCAACCGCGTCACTGGTACTAAAGCCAGCGGAGATTGGTCGAGAGCACTTTAGCCACATACACTCATGTCTTCAGTGAAGAATCTGTCCATTGCCAGAACTCCAATTTATACATTCTACAAAAGGTCGCGAGGCCACTGCCGTTTCAACCTTCTTGGAGGATTATAGGGATGGGAGGTGCTTGATAGGGATTTTGCAAGAGGATTTGGGTGGTACGTAAGGTTCTGGTGAAGTTTGGAGAATTTTTCTGGGATAAGGTCTAGAACAAATGGGATGTTGAAGTCATGATGTGGGGTTTTATTGGTTACATAGAAAGGAACATCGACTATTGTTCGAAGGACTTTTGACTGGAAGGATTGGATGCGGTTGATGTTAGAAAATTTTGCTGATCCCCACAGTTCTAGTCCGTAAGTCCAAATAGGTCTCAGTATTGACTTGTAGATCAGTAGCTTGTTTTCAATGGAAAGTTTTGATTTCCTGCTTAGTAGTCGGTATAGTTGGCCGTATCGTCGGTTGAGTTCTTGTCTTTTGAGTCTAGTATGCGGCTTCCACGTTAGTCTTCGGTCTAAATGAAAGCCAAGATACCGGACTGTGTCTGAGTAAGGAAGCTGGATGGAATTAAAGAGTATTGGTGGACAGGAATTGCGTCGGAGTGTAAAGGTAATATGTTGGCATTTAGATTCATTAACTTTAATGCGCCAGTTATTACACCAGTGCTTAATCAAGGTGAGGTGGCAGATTTAAGGATGCTATTTCGGGATCAGAGTTGGATGATAAGATTGCGGTGTCGTCAGCAAATGTTGCAAGGAAAGTATCGGGATGAACAGGGATGTCAGCAGTAAAGAGGATGTAAAGCACGGGACCCAAGACGCTGCCTTGGGGAACACCGGCTTTAACGGAGTAAATTTTGGAAAATTCTGTTCCACAGCGAACTCGAAAGAAGCGGTCAAAGAGGTAGGATCGGAGGACTAGGTACAAGGACTGAGGTAAATGGATTTTAAGCTTGAAGAGCAGTCCGGAGTGCCACACCCGGTCAAATGCCTGTGCAATGTCCAGAAATGCATCCGAACAGTATTCCTTGTTTTCTAGCGTCTCTAAAGTGGAAAAATCTATGAGCTCATTGCTGAGTCTATAAACTTCCGCCAATGTAATTTTTTTTATAAAACTTATCTATAACATCATATCGCTCATCCAGTGATACAATGACGTCACTACATATCATACTATTTTATATGAGAAAAATATTTAGAATTATTATCACTAGTATCCGCCCAGTGGTCGAAATTCGAAAATTGGAGGAATACATTAATGAATTTTAATAAAAAAGATGTCTTCCCGTACAATTCTTTATTTTTCTTTGTCAGAAGAACTAGCGACGCTTGGTTTCAAAGTGCGTCAGGTAACCAACGTTCTGAAGGAGAATAAGGAGCAGCCAGGAGTGAGTAATAAAGTTCCACTACCTTTATTTTTCGTGGATCTAGAGCCATCACCTGGCATTGAAAAAATATATGATATCAAGAGATTGTACTACACTATCGTGAAGATAGAGAAGCCATACCCCAAGAAGGAAATTGTGCAGTGCCACAATTGCCAGGCGTATGGCCACACGAAAACTTATTGTCACCATCTGCCGCGTTGCGTGAAATGCGGTGAACAGCACAAATCTGTGGAGTGCACCAAACCAATACAAGATCCTGCAGTGTGTGCACTATGCCAGGAGGGACACCCGGCCAACTACAAAGGCTGCCAAACCTATAAGAGCCTCAAATCCAGATACCAGAAGAACCGGATTCAAGATGAGACAACCAGACCAAGAAGAGAACCTTCTAGAATTGTTAACAATAATTTATCATACTCCGAACTACTTGGAGGTAAGAACCCCAATAATACATGTGAAGCCCTGCCGCAGCAACTACCTCAGCCCCAATCTCAATATTCTGTTCATCCTAACACACATAATCATCAACAACCTCAAATTCCTCATATTCCTCCTCCTTCAAATGCAACAGATCTCACTAGTTTGTTAGCATCTTTCCTAACCGATTTCAAATCCCTAGTCACTCCACTCATATCACTCCTTACAAATCTCGTATCTCACCTCATCCCTCCTTTGAAAAATCCTTAATGACCCACATCCCAAAACCCATTTCCATTCTCCTTTGGAATGCGAATGGTGTTAGAAATCACGTTGACGAACTAACAGCTTTACTACAAGACAAGAACATTGACGTAGCCCTAATTACAGAAACTCGACTGACCATAAAACAGCATTTAAAAATCCCACAGTATTTAACATACCGTACTGACCACCCTGATGGCAGAGCACATGCCGGCACTGCTGTCATCGTACACCAATCCCTCTCCCATCACTTACTCCCATTACCTACTCAAGATTTCCTACAGTCAACCGCTATTGTAATCAAAGCCTTCTCCTTTCCAGTCACCCTTGCATCAGCATATTGCCCTCCTAACAGATCCATATCCAAAGTCCAGTTCAGTTCTCTCCTCAACTCCTTAGGTCATCATTTCATCCTGGGTGCAGACTTAAATGCCAAGCATCAAGTTTGGGGTTCAAGAACCACGAATTCTCGTGGCAGAACATTTCTGTCTGCACTCAATACCCAACGTTTCAGTCTCCTTCCACCCAACTCACCTACCTACTGGCCCACAGATCCTAACCGCAATCCCGATATCCTTGATTTTTTCATCCACAGTGGCTTAGGTCCCCTCAATCATTCCCTTACCCCTCTTGCCGAACTATCCTCAGATCATAGTCCATTATTACTCCAATTATCTCTAGCTCCTATTCCTAAGTCTTCTCCACCGTCCTTCATCAGAGGCCCAGTTAACTGGAAACTCTTTCACCAAATCCTTACCGATAAAATTGACCTCAGAATGCCCCTGAAAACCCCAGATGACCTTGACAATACCGTACACTTTTTTACCACCACTATCCAACAAGCAATCTGGACTGCTTCCTCTCCAAACCACTCCTCAAGAACTCCTAAGAAAAATAAGTTACCTCAACACCTCATAGACCTAATCCATACCAAACGCCGTGCCAGATTATTATGGCAACGTACTAGACACCCCACCGATCGCCAATCCTATAATTATTTTTGCAAAAAACTAAAGATAGAATTGGCCACCTTCAGATCCCAATCCTTCAACTCCTACCTCACTTCCCTCTATTCTCATGACAATTCCCTATTTAAGACCACCAAACATATCCTAAAACCCCATTATATATCACATCCTCTCCGTCGAGGTGATGGCTCTTGGGCACCATCTGACGAAGATAGAGCCGAAGAATTCGCCAAACACCTTTCCCTTACATTCACCTCTCATCCAGAATCCAATCCCACCCACACGTCAGCAGTAGAGGAATTCCTTAATTCACCCATCCCACTCTCCTTACCGCCTAAAGCAGTTAATCCTTCTGAGGTCAAATTCCTCTTACAAAAACTACCTACCCGTAAATCACCTGGATACGACCTCCTTACCTCTCAGATCCTTAGACAACTCCCTCCTAAAGCTGTCATATTCCTTACATACATATACAATAGCATCTTACGAACCACCCACTTTCCTCTTTTGTGGAAACATTCCACTATTATCCTGTTTCCGAAACCAGGCAAACCTCCAAACACCTCAACGTCCTACAGACCAATTAGCCTTCTTCCGATTCTCTCAAAAATCTTTGAAAAGATCCTCCTGAAACGCATCCTACCCTTTATAGAATCCCAAACTCTTCCTTCCCATCAGTTTGGATTTCGTTCACAACACTCTACAGTCCAACAAGGACTCCGAGTGGTTGATCATATTTCCGCAGCATTGGAAAGCAAGCAATATTGCTCGGGTGCATTTCTGGACATAGCTCAAGCTTTCGACCGGGTATGGCACGCCGGGCTTCTTTCCAAGCTGAAAAACTATCTTCCTCAGTCCTTGTACCTTGTTCTCCGTTCCTACCTCTCAGATCGTACCTTCCGAGTTCGTTGCGGTACTGAATTTTCGCATTGCTATCCAATTGAGGCAGGTGTTCCTCAAGGTAGCGTATTGGGTCCCGTCCTTTACATCCTCTTTACCGCCGATATCCCTGTCCATCCCGATACCTTCCTGGCAACTTTTGCTGATGACACCGCCATTCTATCATCCGACTCAGATCCCAACATAGCATCCTTAAATCTCCAAAACCACCTCACCTTGATTGAGCACTGGTGTAATAACTGGCGCATTAAAGTTAATGAATCTAAATGCCAACATATTACCTTTACACTCCGACGCAGTTCCTGTCCACCAGTACACTTTAATTCCATCCAGCTTCCTTACTCAGACACAGTCCGGTATCTTGGCTTTCATTTAGACCGAAGACTAACGTGGAACCCACATACTAGACTCAAAAGACAAGAACTCAACCGACGATACGGCCAGCTATACAGACTACTAAACAGAAAATCCAAACTTTCTATTGAAAACAAATTACTTATCTACAAGACAATACTGAAACCTATATGGACATACGGACTTGAACTGTGGGGGACAGCAAAAGCTTCTAACATCAAACGTATTCAATCCTTTCAATCTAAAGTCCTTCGAACAATAGTTGATGCTCCGTTCTATGTAAATAACAAAATCCTACACCATGACCTTAATATCCCATTTGTCCTAGACCTTATTCCAGAAAAATTCTCCAAATTTCACCAGAACCTTACCTATCATCCAAATCCCCTTGCACAATCTCTATCCAGCACCACCCATCCTTACAATCCTCCTCGAAGGTTGAAGCGGCAGTGGCCCAGAGACCTTTTGTAAATAAGCATCTATTGGAGTTTTGGCAATGGCCAGATCCTCCACTCAAGCCCGAATGTGTATGATTAGGTTAGTTCTTTTGTTTATATACATTTATTTTATTTTATTGTATTTAATTTTATTTTATTTCATTGTATTTATTATTATTAAGTTTCTGTATTATTTTTTTTTTATTGTAAATAGAGTGTGAGTGTGCTTTCTCTGAACACTATTATAGATGTCCTTGATGTGACAGAATGTAATATTTCTAAATAAACAAAAAATCGTTGCAATTTAATTTTTCTTTGTCATCGCAACTGGTTTCGGTCTTTTTGCATAACTTCATCAGGTAGTCCTCCTTTTCTGCTTTTCAAACGAGAACTCCTAGCTTGTCAAAAGGTTGTCCTCATTTCGCAAGTATGAAGATCTGATGAAAGACTAAAATCCGTTGCGAAAACAGAAAATAAAAAATTATACAGAAAGTCAACGTATTTATTATTAAATTTTGAAAACAATATATAGAGATGGAATTTTGGACATCATTCAAATTGGGAAATCTTTTGCCACTTAGAAAGTAGAAAATGATCCAAACAAATGGAAATCCGATGTTGCACTTTTCAATTAAAGATCGATTTACATGATCCAATTATTCACAATACTGTTCTGCATTCACACTTTGTCTAGGTTTCAGCACTTCATAATTAGCAACGATGGGAATACTCAACCAAACAAAATGGCATTTTTTAGTGTAAACCTGGCTTAGCTGTACATGGTGGATAGATTCACTGCCTTTTGCGTTTTGGATTATCATAAATCAACCATTTTTCATGTTAGGCTATTAAGCCATCAAAAAACGCTTCTGTACTGTGCCATTGAAACGTTAAGTTTTTTGTGGTCTGCTGAAAATGTTCTTGGATAGTCAGCCATAGTTGTTCCTGATCAATACGAATCGAAAATATCAAAATTACCAGATTTGAAATTAAAAAACCATCTTTGACACATTTCTGTATAATGCATTTCGATAAACATCGCAAGTGTTTTTTTTAGCAACTGTTGCGTTATTATTCTTGTGGAACTCAAAAAGCACCCCATGGTGGATTTATACCTCTTCTGGTATTATTTGGAAACATAAAACCTAGAAATCGTTCGAACCGTATGCTCAAAAATATGTTACATACTTTCTAGTTTTGTAGTAAAAACTAGTACTGCTAAACTATGTTTAGCAGTAAAATATATATTTTATAAATTTCCTGCAATCAGCAATTTTTTTTTGTTTTTCAGGCATTTCATAAGTTAAATAAATCCAAAAAACAATCACAAAGTTATTCTTCTCCTTAGAATAATTTTTCAATAATTATAATAAATGTTTTATGTTTTGTTTTTTTCAATCAGGAAAAGTTAAGCCTTCATTTCACAATGAAGCGAGAGGTTGTGTTCTCAGCTTGTGGTTTGTTCCAGTTGGACTTTAAACTGGTTCATTCGGTGAGTCCTATACTTGTATATTAGTTAGTAAAAAAAGTTGTATATTACTTGGCTGTTGATAAAATTTGTGATAGTGAAAATTTTATGAACTATATAACAAGGTATCTGCTCAAACCAAATCCGCACGCCATTGTCAAATTTGATTTTCGTTTTTTATTTACAGATGATAGCTTCAGCCACGACATATCTGGTCTTGCTAATTCAGTTTGGACAGCTAAAGCCAGAGAAATTATGGACACCAACTCCTTCGACCACCGACAATCTCACAACTCCTCATCCAATGTGGCTTACTACCAACTAGTGCTGAATTACTTTTATTTAATATATAAGTGTGTAAGAAGTATATTGTTTTCCTACCTCAAGAGTTAGCAATGAAAGTTAAATGAGTTAGCTATATAAATATTAAATGCAAAACATGAAGATTATGATACAAGTATAAACAAATAATATGTCAATTTAAAAAAAAAAATATCTACGCCTATAACTCTTTCTCTCTTAAGGGATAGAAAATAACACCTTTTTACTTAAAAATGTATTTAAAAAAACACTACAACTATACCACTACAACCTATAAAACATCTTGGGTTTAGTACTATTTAGGGAAAGTACTGTTTCTCAGTCAACGGTTGTGTACGGAGGAGATCGGGCTAGGATCACGCTCAACCGTTATCTTTTCCCCCTTAATCAATCAATTAAGGGTACCCACTTTATAGAGACTGGGTGTGTCCCAGGAGGATCGCCCCACGGCCAATGAAACAGAATAAATAATTTTATGTTATGAGCCGTGATTCGAACCTGGGACCTTGATCACTGGAAGCTCAGTGCCTTAACACTGAGCTACCCAGCTCCCTTAAATAAAAATATAGGTTTTTAACAATTAAAAGAAATAACTACACTTTTAAACACGTTATATTTACTCATTAATAATACTGTGCTTATAATATTACAAGTATTTCACTTATCACAGTTCTTTGATATCCCTGGAGCCAGAGCCATCACATGTTAAGGTTTGATTGTAAATTACGAAAGTATATGTTATTCTGAGTAAAATGAATCTTTTCTGATGCTCCAGAACCGCTGCTTTCAAAAATGGTAGCTGATTTAAAGAATATTAGGCCAATAATTTGAGGATCGAAACGGGAAATCCATTGCGAAAAATGTGAAAAAAGTTTTATTTTTTTAACTTGTACACATGGGTTTAGACTTGTAAAAAACAAAATTGCTAACGTTGACCATCAAGGGAAAACTTTTTACAGCCAAAAAAGACCGATTTTTTCGATTTTTTTTTCACCTATAACTCCTAAATGGTGCATCAAAGCCAAAAATGTATTAATAAAGTAAAGAAAGTTAAATTTAAACGAGTATGTAAACTTTATGATTTGGTTACGCGGTTAGGTATAAAACTGTGGTCAACCAACGCTGATTTTTCCAAATTTGTCAAACACTGAGACAAATTGCTATAAATGGCCCTGTAACTTGGATATGAGTTCCCTAAGAGGAAAAATCCATAGGATCAAAGTTGTAGAGCATCAAATTTTACGTCAACTGAGTACTGACATTTTTATTGTAGGCCAATTATATATTTCGAATCGGGATTCGTTATTCCGTTATTTCTTTTGCATGTAACAGACTCTAAACAAAAATAACTTAGTAGAATAGACGCTCATAATGATGAAATATTGATAACCACGTTAACTTTCATTACCAATTTCTAACCATCGGAGATTGCCGTGTTTTTTCGCAGTAAGTGACTTACATTAAATTAGTTTTAACTCAGTTGACGCAAAATTTGATGCCCTACAACTTTGATTCTAAGAGTTTTTCCTCTAAGGGAATTTATTTCCAAGTTACAAGGCCATTTATAATAATTCGTCTCAGTTTTTGACAAATTTTTGTAATAATCAGAGTTGGTTGACCGCGGTTTTACATCCTTACAGCGTAACCAAATTATAAACTTTATATACTCATTTGACGCAAAATTTAACGTTCTTTAATTTATTAAAGATTACATTTTCCAGAATACATCGTTTAGGAGTTATAGGTGAAAAAAATAAAATAAATCTGACTTTTTCCGCTGTAAACAGTTTTCCCGTAGTGGTTCGCATTAGCAATTTTGTTTTTTTAATATCTAAACCAATATATATATATATTGGTAATTTGAGGATCGAAACGGGAAATCCATTGCGAAAGATATGTGAAGAGTTTTTATTTTTTTAACTTATATATATATATATATATATATATATATATATATATATACAATGGATTTCCCGTTTCGATCCTCAAATTACTGGCCTAATATTCTTTAAATCAGCCGCCAATTTTTGAAAGCAGCGGCTCTGGAAGACAAGGTTATTTTTACTCGGAATAAAATACACTTTCGTAGTTTACAATCAAACCTTCGCCTGCGATCAGGTCTATTTTTGGGCCCCCGCTCCAGGGATACGAAGGTTATAGAGCACTCAGCATTGCCAATATATCTACTACTACATTCTATATCTACTCATGTAGGTACACAATATGTACAATTGGAGACTGTTGAAACACTTTACATGACATAAATTTAAAAAATCTGGTGCGCGCCACACACAACTTTCACTCAACGATCTACTTTGAATAGAAATTATTTTCTGGCAATGCTGGGCTATTATAAAATTGTTTGAAGTGCATTTTAAACGGAGCCAAAGCTTAAAGCTCACAGATAACAAGTCAATAAGACCATTATAATTACAAAATGTCTATTTAATATATCGACAACAGGCAATAAAAATCTTGTCACTCCATCTGCTTTATAACTACCAACTTCTTTGCTTTTATAAACCACAGAATGACTACTCCAATTTCAACATTTTTGAGTGATGTCATTTTAGTGATATTTTTAGTTGAAAAAGTTATCTATGCAGACAATGAGTAAGTTGATTCCAGAGCGGTGATTGCAGTGTTGAAATATAGAACTGAGAATACAAGTATAAATTTAGGTACTTATTTCTTATGAAAGATGTTCTTAGGAAAGACACTTTATTAAATATCTCTAGAAAAAAAGTTTTTTTAAGTCTCAACAATTAAGAAAATATATTTTAAATTTATGAAAATTTTCACCTCTTCAGGGAACATAACCAGAGACTATATCATTTCTCCTAATTGTCCGAATTTAACGATCTTTTTTTTTTGTTTTTTTAGAAAATTCCATAAACATTTAAAAAACCATATACAATATCAACAAAAAAGCGTACACTTTTTGAGTTATTGGAAATTTAATTTTAATATCCAGTCGTAAGTGTCATGGCCGAAACTGAGGTTCTATATTCGTATCGTTCCGTCTTTGCTAGTTTGTTATGTGCTTATTATCTCAAATCCTGTTCTCAGACTTTGTAAACAGTGAGTTTATAAACAATTTAACATTTTTACATTATAATCAGTGAGGTGAGTGACTTTTCTTAATAATTAGCAACATTAAATTGGTACTCGATTGCTAGAGACAGTTTACGTGGCAGATAATTCCCCTCAGCGGGTCTTATCTTTCAAATTCAAGGTCACGGCGCTTTATTTTACGTTCAGAATATCTTGAGTTCGTACCTAAGACAGTATATATATTTTTTTTTTTCTCTGTTTTTATTTCTTAATTGATTATTTTATTTTAATATTTTTTTTCTACTGAGACTCTATTTTATTTATTTATAAAAATGTTTTTTTTAATATTTGTATATATATTTGTAAATAGATTAGTTATTAAGTATTTGTTTTGTAAATTTTCTTATTAGTGATACTTTTTTTTTTTTTTTTCTCTCTTCTTTTTGTATATATTATTATTTAGAGGTATGGATTCTGATAAGAACATTTCTTTTGACGAATCAGATGAAGAGACTCCTTTCTCCGAAATCAGTGAGACTGATTCTCAATATTTAACAAGGCGAACTCTCCAAAAGCGCCATAGAAACTCTGCCCCCGGTTCGGCGGGCAACTCACCTAATAAAAAAAAAAACAAATCCGCTAAAACAAAGCAAGCTCTCAAAGTAAATAAAGAATCAAAAACTAGTAATAATTCAGCTATGAAACCTGACACTAAACCATCAACTAACACATCCAGTAACAATTCTGTTACAGCCAATAATAAAATTAACGAAATCACTGAACCTAGAACTTTCACTGAACCAGTGCCACCTCCGATTTATGTAAGCAAGATTGACAATTTCATTCAGTTCGGTCAAGAAATAGCTAATCTGATCGGACCGACCAACTTCCGGTGTTTTTCTCGAGTCAACGATATAAAGATTAACACCAATACTAAAGATGATTATAAAAAACTTATAAATCATTTGACAGCACTCAATCACGACTTCCACTGCTATCAACTAAAAGAAGACAAAACATATAGAGTGGTTTTGAGAGGTCTTCACTCTACCACACCCACTACCGCTATAAAAAAAGATCTGGAAGATATCGGCCATTCGGTAAGACATATATCTTCTATCTTACATCCTATTGATAAATATCCACTGCCATTATTTTTCATCGATCTAGAACCAGCCCGGAATAATGCAGAAATCTTCGAAGTTAAAAGACTGCTGTATTCTGTTGTAAAATTTGAAGAGCCGAGGCAGAAACCAATAGTCGTTCAATGCACCAAGTGCCAAAACTTAGGGCATACAAAGGCTTACTGCCATCACTCGGTGCGTTGCGTTAAATGCGCCGGGCCTCACGCCTCTAACACCTGCCAGAAACCGTTAAATGAACCACCAAAATGTGCCCTTTGTGGTGAGGACCACCCTGCAACCTATCGGGGCTGCATTATCTATAAGAAGCTATATAAGCAAAGAACTTATAATTTATCATTAAAAGAAGAACAGAAGAATTCTACCCAGGCACAGGTACAGGCACCTGAACTCCTAAATTTGGCAGCGTTTCCTCAACTGCCGAACGAAATAATACCACAATTGACGCACAACCCTTCTACATCAACAGATCATCCCCATCAAGACTCTAGGCACCTATATTCAGAC